CACTTAATTATGGAAATTAAGAGTCCTAATACTTTTTAAAAGTATATGTAGAAATGGAGTATGTTGATTACATTGTCTATACTTGAAGAGAGTGGGGCTAAAGCACTGGCAGATTTCCAAAGCCTTGTGCTTTTTTTCGGTCTAATTTTGAGATGCCACTCATATCATTTATGCATTTCAGCTTAGCTTTAAGATCTTGTTAACGGCTTTTGGTACCCCTACGAACACATCAGCAAACTATCTTTCACCAGACAGCCAAAGGTAACCTCTGGACTCAGGCGGTGAGAATCAATATCCTAAGAGTATTTTTAGGGACTATTGATGGATTGCTGTATTTTGAGCTTAACTTCAAGTGCCAAATGCCCCAGAGCTGACTAAGATGAACTCACCATTTACTGAGAACTGTATAGGCCATCAGGCAGGTAGAGGGCTCCGGGATTGCCAAGACAAGATGTACGCACCTTTCCCTTTGTGGTTTTGGGAAGAATTCCTGTGTGTTTTTTAGTAGCCTGATACGGATTTGGATGAGGACTTTGGACCACTCCTTGCTGGAGCAAAGTGTTACCCATTTGACAGCCTCACAGTCCTGGGAACACATAGCTGTGAAATTCTAGGACAACATTGTATAGCAGCAAATCAATTAATTCTGCGTACCAGGAGTGATCTGGTACACCGAGGCACTAATGACTCCGCGTCCTTCTCGGAAGGCAGCCCCACGGAAGGCGGGAGCCATGGTAAGCTGTGCTGCTGTCAGCAAGCCGAAAGCTGTGGGTCTCTGACACGGCTCTCAATTGCTAGCAGGTTTCTCTCATTGCACCTCATTTGCATCTGGGACATCAATTAGCATGTTTGTTGAGGCTAATTGAATGAAACTCAATCATAGCTCTTAATTGCTTGACTATGTGAAAAGAAATCACATTAATGCAGCTAATTAAGTGTACGGCAATAGATGCAACATAATTAGGAGCGAAATGTAAAAAACAAGGGATGGCAAAGGTGCCTGCGCGGGGTTGCAGGGGGACGGCGAGGCACAGTTACCGAGCGATTGGCGCGTTCGAGAACGGGTCCCTCTGCTCCGGTGCCTGCTTGGAAAAAATAATCCGCATGATGAGCATGGACAACTTGAGAAGAAAAATGCAAATAGGTTTGCAATTACTACTTTTTCAAGCTGTTGAGGGGCAGGAGATGGCACCTCTGGGGGGCTTGGCTCCTGAGTGGGCCCCAGGGACTTGTTAAGTGCTGTTTAAAAGTACTTGGCTTTGAATTACCCTCATGCCTTGTTAAAGGGTTTTTTCCTCTTTTATCTTCCATCAGCATTTTCCGCAAGAAACATGGAGAAGGGTAGTACCCGTAACATTTGCATATCAAAATCGAGCTTGCTGTCTTAATTTTACCCAGGTCCCTATCTCAGACCCATCAAGGGGCTGCACATCCCACTTCTGAGGAGACGACATTGTTTAGTGGTTGTAACTTTAATTCCTCAATAACCAAGCTGAGGAGAGATGAAAAGGATGAGTTCTTTCAAAACCAGAAAGCTCAGTGTAGCTTCTCCCGGGAGGAACTGGAAGCCACAGACCCGTGTGTCTTGTGTAGAAAGCCCTGGGTCGGGGGGCTTGTAGTGAGTAGGAAATGTGTTTTGCAGAGTTTTAAAAAATTTTCAGTGGCTTGAAATCTAAGAATTGCCAGATTTATATTCTGATTTTTTAGAGCTAGTTCTTCTGAAGTTTCAGTGCCTAACTCAGGCAAGAAAACAGATCCCCGGCCCATGCCGCGCTGAAGATAAATGTGTTCCCTTGCCACATTCCAATCCAGAGAGCAGACACTTGGCACATTTCTATAATAATTTTAAATAAAATATCCTGGTTATTGTATGTTAAAACGTGCCTATTAAAAGAGCCCATGCTGAGGCTTAGTCACTATCTGATTAGCCTCATTTTAGAGCCCATAAGCAATAAATGCTCAATTACACTCCTGTTATTGTATTTTAATTTGTTAAGAATTGGCATTAAAGAAGAAAGTTATAGCAAGTTGATATTTTTAAAGGAGTAACTATGCAAGAAGGAATTCGTTATTTACAAGCATTAACTTTGGTTTTGAAACTTGGGTTTGCTTATTTTCAGTGGGTATTAATGGAAGGAAATTCAAGATGTTTAAGAACAACCCCTTTTAAGAAACGGCCCGCGCTAACCAGAGATCACTTTCTTCTTCGATGTGCTTTCGTTTGCTATCCGCAACACGCGGCGCAGTCGCGAGAGTCCATCTCTTCCAGCCTACCTCTTCCTTCACTCTAATTTAGTGTAATTAATTGATTTAATAATAACTTTCCGTGGTCTTTTGCCCACATCCTTTCGAAACCACAGCTTGCTTCATAGCGGATTGTATTTCGGGGAGTTCACCATCTTGACTTCCATGTGGAATCTTCCGTCAGGGGCGTGCGAAGTCCCATTTGCTGTTCCCGGCCTGGATACAGCCTTCCCCTTCCCCAAAGCCACCATGACAGCCCAGCCAGTGACAGCCCCAGCCAGCGAAAGCCCTGCGTACATCAGTGGATGCATCCTCCCTGAGCCTCCCTGGGAGATGATGCAGACAGTCGCCAGCCCAGGGTGGCTGCGGGCCTCTGCCACTGGCCTCCAGGCTAATGTCAGATGCACACGTGCTGGGGTCTCCTTTCCCCACAGTTGTCCTCTGCCAAGGAGTGGCCAGCCCCACCGCTGCTCCGAATCTGCCCCACTGGGGCAGCTGCTGGGCCTTTCTCTGTTTGCCCTCAGCTGGTTGTTCTCCCTCCTGGTCTGACCTCAGATTTTGAGCTTCCGTGCTGCACCAAGAGCTGGCGTTTGAGGTCTGTCCTTGGGAAGTCGCAGGGACCCTGAAGCATCGTTTGCTCCCAGGGCTAGTGTTGGCAACCCTTCGCGGGTTGTGTATCTCTTTGTCAGAACATCTCCCCAGCATGGCTGTGCTCTCCCTTCCCTGTTGAGAATTCCTACACCCTTTGTCCTGGAGTCTGGGTTGACTCCCGTGTGGCCCCCTCTAAATTGCTTGGGTTGGGAGAAGGTCTGCACTGTTGACACCCCACCCCCACCCCGGCACACCCTCTCCCTCCTGCAGGTGGGTGGGGGAGAGCAGCCCTCTCGCCCTCTGTCCTGAGGAGCCAGGTTTTCCCTGAATTGGAATCTTGTACTTCTGGTTCCTTCTGTCAGCAGACTTCCTGCTTGTTGATACACCAGTGACCCCTTCCCAACCCCTTCACCTGCCGAGTGTGGACACTGTCCTGCAGTTTAAAGATGAATGGCCTGTTTCCCAGCAGTCGCTGGGGTCCTACATTGTGTCCGTCTCTGTGTCCCTCTCTGTGTCCCCTGCAGCTCCTCAGCGCACTTTGGCCTGCTTTCCTCGTCCCAGAGACAGGGGCCTCCAGCTCTTGCGCATTGCTTCTAGAACTTCATCTCGTTATCTCTCTGCACCGTTAGCTGTGCTGGTTGGCAGTTACAAGCAAGCAGCTACTTTTCCAACCTGCCCAACCTGCGTCCCTTGCAGAGGACATGCATGTTTGTTCGGCAGTTCTCAAATTACACTGACCTGGACCTACAAATTTATTTGCTTTAGAATCTTAAGGAACTTCACCACGATACTGCCAAGGCAACAATGTGTTTATTCCCACTTCCTGCTTAGCGTTAAAACCTTGAAATGCGGTTCATCCAAAAATGGTATTGTATACGGGTGTCCCTCAGTACCCATGGTGGCTTAGCTCCAGGACCACTGAGAATACCAAAATTCTCAGCTGCTTAAGTTCCTTGTATAAAATGACACGTTATTTGCATATAACCTATGCACATCCTTTCATATACTGTAAATTATCTCTGGATTACTTATAATACCTACTGCAATGCAAATGCTATAGAAAACAGTTGTTACACTGTATTTTTTATTTGTATTGTTATAATTTTTTATTAGTTTTTCTTTTTTTGTTTTCAATCTGTTAGTTGGATCCGCAGGCGTGGAACGCACAGCTGTGGAGGGCCAACTGTATACACTTTCTTAATGTGCAATACCAATTTAATGTGTGTGCAGAGTCCTTAGAACACTGTGCTGACAGACAAGGAGGGTTGTTACCCAAAAAATAAAATAGTGCGTTAAAGGGTCAGTAACTCTCAGTTGGTCCGCAGGCCCCTCGCGCTGGCTCTTGGTACCTTTTGCCTTCTCCCTTCCCTGCCCATCAGCTGAGTCTTAGGTGTCGTTTTACTCCACAGGGAGTTGTTAAGTGACCTGTGTAAAGAACTTCACTGTCAACCTAGGCTTCCCTATAGTTCCCTGATAACTGCTGGTCGTTCGCCTCCAAGAGGAGAGAGAACCACATTCTTTTTAGGAGTGCAGTGAACCTACTTGGGGAAACGTGATATTTGAGCGCCCAGTAACGCACTTTTTTTTTAACATTGTGCTTTTGTACATCCATCTCAGAGCTCCATGCTTTTTCAGTGCCACACCACGAGCCTCCCAGACATCGTCCTCGTCCTTAATAAAACACTTAACCTTTGTCTACAGTTTTCACCAGAATTCCCACCAGACAGCTTCAGTCTTATCTAGATGTTTCATGGTATTCCCATCTGAGACAGAAAGGTTTTTACAAAATAGTTTCCTACTCTATGTATGGAATTTTACCTAGAATTCATAGGAGAAGCCCATGTTCCTCACGTGCCATGTAATAAGCAAGAATTCAAAAAATAGGATTTTATTTGTATACTTATTTTCTAATCCCCCGTGAAGGAGACATCTACTGCGTCTCCTGTTTCTAGTGCCTGGGTTAGTTCAGGACGCAGAAGCAAACTCTGATTTAAATATGATGATGCCACCAGTACTATACACATAAAAATCTTATTGTTTTTAACGTGCTCTCCACAGTGGAAGGGTCATAGGATTACAGCTCATGATGTCTGATAGAACCTTTTGTCCTAGATTGTTAACGGTCTTCCTGTTAATCTCTCTTGGATGTTTAACGTTTTAAACAGGATTACATGCAGAATGTTCATGGTAAAGAGATTGATCTGCTGAGAACCACTGTGAAAGTCCCAGGGAAGAGGCCCCCCCGAGCCACGTCGGCCTGCGCGCCCATCTCCAGCCCTAAAACCAATGGCCTGTCCAAGGACATGAGCAGTTTACACATCTCACCCAATTCAGGTAAGCTCACAGCAGACACGCTAAGAAATCAAGTTCAGCAGCAGCAGAGGGTACTGGCTTGCGGACGGTGTTGAACTCTTAAGGTCAAGTGGCGATGTTCACTATTACATTATAGATTCAAGTTTATAAACCTCATCCCTTCTGTGGCTGATTATTTCCTCTACACTTCTGGGTTCCGTGGATGCCAACAAGCAAATGGTGGTGCTTGGAGTCACAGCTGCACAAACCAAGCATCTAGGCTGTCCCAGGGCTGGGTAGTTGAAAGTAGAGTTTTACACGTGAATGGACATTTAAGGGCTTTATAAAAAACATGAATTAACTGTTAAAGTATCAAGGAGTAACTGGTTTCTCATAACTGTGTATGTGAAATTGGGAAAACTACTTGGAGCAAGACTCAAAGGAAACCATTTGACCTATATGAAATTTAAATCCTGGGCTGGGTATGGTGGCTAAGCCTATAATCGCAGCACTTTGGCAGGCTGAGGAGGGGGAAATCACTTGAGCCCAGGAGTTCGAGACCAGCCTGGGCAATATAGCAAGACCCCATCTCTACAAAAAAATTTAAAAATTATCCAGGCGTGGTGGCCTGCACCTGTAGTCCCACCTACTCAGGAAGGTGAAACTGGAGAATCATTTGAGCCCAGAAGTTCAAGGCTGCAGTGAGCTATGATCACACCACTGAACTCCAGCCTGGGTGAGACCCCATCTCTAAAAAAAATAAAAATAAAAATGTAAATCCTCTCAGTCTTATATTTGAACTATCATTTACCATTTTTTAATGCAACTTTAGTTTTTATTCTCTTCTGAAGGAGAATTTTTTTCATTCAGGAGTAAAAAAAAGAACATTTTCTCAAAATCTGATGTGTTTAGAAATTCTTGGCCTCTGTGTCTAGGGCAGGTCATTCAGAGTGTCACTGACCGCTTGCTTAAGAGTCTTTGCAAATAAACGATGGCACTGTGGCCTCCACCTTTCCGCAACGACTTCATCAGAGAAAAGGTGTTAAAGACCCATTTATCCTCCCACTACAATCAGACTCCTTCACACGTGGAATCCCTTCAAGAATTTTTGTTGTTTTCTCCAGTAAAAAAGTCACTTTCTTCTCTCCCACCTACATCCAGTCTTCTCACATTTCTCCAGTAGTTTCTCACATGTGTCTCTGCTTCTCAAAGGTGCTACATTTTCCCTCTTCTGAAATGTTAGGTGCTTTTAAAGAGGGATGACGCCGACTGCACAGTTCTGTGACGTAAATGATTTTGGTTGGCGGAAGTGGGGTGATGGGAAGCAGTGAGGGTTTGGGGTCCACCGTGCTGGGCTCCGCCGCGTGGTGTTAGGTCACGACCTGGTTCTTTGCCACCGTGTTGGGCCGATCTTGCCCGTCTGTTGCAGGGGGTGGTGTCAGGTAAGGTAACGTGAAGGTGCTGGGGAAACAGAAAGGACGACACAGATGCAAGCTGCGGCTACCGATCGAAATAAAAATTGCCCTTCTGCTGAAGGCGGCGTCAGTTCCTTCCCAGAAGGTCCGCGGGTGCTTTTGCATGGTCTCCTGTGACCTGCTGAGCTTCCTTCCAAGACTTCCATGCCATTGCCCTCGTCAGGGTGGCGTGCTGACTCTGGGGTGGGGACGGAGGAAAGAAGCGCCCAAGAAAGAAAAAAAAATCTGTCGTGAATAAAAAGCTAAAGTCTTCATTACTTTATTATATTACATTATTTATTCATTTATTCGAAAAATATCTGTTGAGCACTGATTTTGTGCCAGGAAGTGTGCTGTGGACATGGAAGCCCTGACCTCTGAATTCCTGTGCAGGGCAGTCACCAGCTGATGTCCCCCCCGCTTCTAGCCCTCACAGCGCATCTACCCATTTATTTAGTGAGTTTCTTTTTAAATTGACAAATAAAAGTAGTACGTAGTTATCATCACAACATGATGTTTTAAAATGTGTATACTTTGCAGAATGGCTACATTGAGCCTTTTACGGAGCTTCTGAGCTTCTCATATGTGCCAGCCACTGCCCTGAGCCCTGGGGTCACAGGTGAGCAGGATGTAATTCCTACCTGCAAGAACTTTACCCTCTGGAGGGGAGAAAGACAATGGGACAGCTGCAGTGCGCGTAGCAGGCGGCAGCGGGGAGGCTCGGGGGAGTGGGAAGACCCGGCGATGATGTGGTCGACGGTGGGTGATGTGGTCGAAGGTGGGTGATGTGGTCGACGGTGGGACCCTGCTCTAGGCCGGGAGGTGGGGCCAGGCCACAGGGAACAGGGATGTCTGTGCTAAGTTTGAGAAGAGGACGAGGGAAGAGCTGCGTATGTGAAGTGTTGAATGTGCAAGATTAGGATTTTGAACTTCCTAATCTTGAGACTTACATTCTTTGGTGCTGAAAGCCACTTGTTGTCCTAAGGAAAATATAACGTGTGATTATAAACAGAAAATACAAAGGCCACTCTAAACCGCGGGGACCTCTCCATCGAGGGGGTGGGTTTTGTGTGCAGTGCTCGGTTTTGTTCTCTTTAAGACCCTTACTGTTGGGCAAAGGAGAGGGTTGGGACAGGGTTGAAATCCCTTTCCCGTGGTCAGACCCTCAGTGCAGGACAGCACGTCTTTCCAACCCTCAGCCAAGTTAATACCGTGTCGAGAGCCTGTTTGTTTGTCCCTTTTCTCTGGATCCTGAGCAGCGGTGTGACGTTGGCAGGACCACAGAGCAACTGTGGGAGAAGAAAATGCCCCTGGTCACGGCGATGCCCAGGGACTCAGGGACGCGGCACCCTGACTGAGCATGCGGTGAGGTCACGGCAGGCATCCAGGAAGAGCGCAGGGACCCCCTGCTGACCACGCCCTGTTGATTTCTCAGCTTAACCCTCAGGTTACGTGGCTGCGCCATGCGGGAGACGCTTGTAAGAGGCGGAACTTCGTTAAAATGTTGTAGAATTTAATCTGCATCGAACTCCCCTAAACATGAACATTAATCTGTAAAATGACATTCTTTCTTGCTTAAAGAATTAAAGCTTTGGGGGATTTGAAGTTGTATCCTCTAAATTACTCTTTGGAAATTGAGTTTCCTGTATTTAAAATCATTATTCATAAAATGCTCTGTCATGTGAAGGATTCAAACACAGCAGACTTAACTGAAATAAGTTGATGCTACATTGAAGTGATGGACTCTTAGCTAAAAATAGGAGTCAGTTATTTTAGAGCTATTTGCCAAAAAATTTAATACGCAACTTAACCTTCTTATTCTTCACTCTCAACTGATTTGAATTCTCCTATTTTGTTTAGAGTTCTAGGTCAACTGGAGGCGTTTGTTTCTTTTTATGTTTCCTTTTTGTAATTCATTTTCGTATCTTTTTGTGACTGAATTAGATCAGTGTTTTATGCCTTCCCTTCTAGTGACTTTTTCATTCGCATAGACCTGGTATGTGTGTACATGAATCTTTGTACAAAACACTTAACTATGGCCTTAGAATCAATATCCATAAGTGGAGTGACTCAGTCAATAGATATAATCATTTGTAAGGTTCTTGATACATATTTCCAAATTAACTTCTAGACAGGTTTTATATAAAATATTCTTCCATCCATAAAACAAGCGTCCACTTCACCACACGTGCTTGCTAGTGCTGTTATTAAATAGTATTTTTAGAAGCTACGCTAATCCGTGGAGCAGTAAGAATACATTGTGCTTTGTTTGTTTGGAAATTTCTTCAATGAGTAGTGAAGGTGAACATCCCATGTGTATTGGCCACATGTATTTCTCATGTTGTGATTGCTCAGAAGTGTCCTTGGCCCATTTTTATGCTCGGTTCCTATCTTTTTCTTATTGATATATAAGAACTCTTTGTATATTTAGGTTGTTAATACTTCGTAATATATTTTGCAGATAATTCCCCAGTTTACTATTTGCCTTTTAAATGTTGTGGTCTTATTTACATTTCTAAGGTTTTCCCTCCTTTTTATTTATGATCAAATCATGTCTTTTACTTCTATGGTTTCTACTCTAAGCTATTTAAAAAGTTTTTAATAATTCTGAAATTAGATCACAGTTCATATGTGTATATTTCTAATTTTTACAGTATTTTTATTCTTTTTTAAATATATTTAACCGCTACTCCACCTTTAATTTGTTTGGGCCTATTGTGTGTGACAGGAAATCTAATTAAATTTTTTATTCAAATAAATAACCAATTGTCCTTTTGCTCCTTCTTAAATTTTTTCTTTTCCTGTTAATTCTGTATGTCTCCTTTGTTGTACAACTAAATCACTTAATCAGACTGGCTGTTTCTGGGCTCTCGGATCTATTCCATTGACCCACTGTCACTATCTTGCCTTACCTTGTGTTGGATATGGCTCAGTTTATATCTGGTAGTATAACACAGTTTAATACTTCTTATCTTCCAGCTTTTCTTGGCTATTGCTACCCACTTATTTTTTTCAAATGAACTTCAGAATAACTTGAAACATTCTCCTTCCCATTGTGACCTTAATTGGCCTTGGTCTCAAGCTGTCGGTTAATTGTGTTGGAACTGACACCTTCACTATGTTGAGCTCGTCATGGGACACTATTCTTAGTGTATTCAAATTTATTTTATGCCTCCAGGAAAGTTTAGAGTTTTTCTTCATGTAGATCCTGGATGTATCTTGTTAATCTACTCTGTTAGCTAGTAATTTTGGTGCATTGTGAGGCTAATGTTTTTTAGAGGCGTGGGGTGTATTATCTCATCTAATTGGCAAGAAATAAGAAAGCTCATAATTTTTATATTTTGTGTATCCAGCTATCTTACTGAACTCTATTTGTTGTAATAGCCATTTGGATCTTTCTCTTGATTTTCTAGTATACGGTCATAATGCATTCCATATTTCAAATATTGTAATGCCTAACTGTATGTCGATGTGGGCTTTTCACTTCTAC